CCCCCCCCCCCCCAACATATAATGGACATTGGGACTCTGCTGGAGCTTTCTAGGCACATCGGTCCCTGACAGTGAACCAGGTTGTTTTTTTTTAAGTTTGTTTTCAAGGAAAATTACATGGTAAAGAACTCCTTTACCAAAGTGTAGGTATTCTCTCACTTCCTGGGTGGCATTTTCAGGCAGTCTTCCACTCCCTAGAGCTCTCCATGTAGAACCTGGTGCCCTGCTGCACCTAGAGTTATGGCCAAGATTTCTAACAAGGATGTGGGAACATAAGAGCCTAAGCCTGTATTTGTCCTCTATAATAGTGGCCTTATTTTCAGAAGCGCTGAGCAGGCAGAAGCTCCCATTGCCTTCTTCTCTCAGGCACAGTCTTTCACATCGAGCCCCCTTGCAAACATGGGGTTGTATTACTGTGACACGTGTGCATATCTCATGATGCACTCTTGCACACTAAAAAGGACCCTACCCTGTTCCTTGAATGGGAAGGGCTGAGATGGAAAAATTTTCCCTCTCTTTTGGTCTCCCCCACTATCATAGCTAGTGTGACAGACCAGGCACTTCCTAGTGTATATCTTCCCTCATGCTAAATGGTTTTCTTCCTCTTGCGAGGTTACGTTCACGCCTGAACAGAAGTGCAAGGCCCGTACTTCCTGTAGGCTCTGGTTAAGCTCTGAAAGTAGGGTGAAAGTGGGACTTTTGTGATGCACGGGCCATGTGTGGGCCCTGTTCACAGCTCTTGAGTTTCACTTGTTCATACATAGTTCTCATTTAATTATTGAGCCCTTTATCTGCTTTTACTAAATTCTCAGGGTTCTCAGTCTGGTTTGTTCAATGTCATCTCTTCTGCCTGTGCCCCCTCAGTGACCTTCAAGCAACATGCCTTTGAATACCCTGCTGGGAGCTTCTCACTAGAAGACACAACAGCTGGAGTGACAATGTCCAGCAAGCAGAGGGTCTATAAATCTGGGCATGGAGACTGAGAACTCAGTGCACAAACTAGGGAAGATGAGCGATAGGAAGCTGAGCTGTCTCAAAGAGCAAAAACACAGAGCACAGAAAGCAGGAGGTGGAGTAAGTTTATAAATGCATCTCTGAAACCAGAAAGCTGCTTTAAAGAAAGATGTTTTAGTGTATTTGGAAAAGGGGCCACACTAAGCCTTTGCAGAATTTTAAGGAAGCCAAAGGCATCATGCCAGACTTAGACTCCGTGCAACAAGATTAAATTGTGGATCTTGGCCTGAAACATTAATCTGAAACAGTGAAAGCCATTACTTAATTTTTTACCAAAAGGTGAGAGGAATGAACCCCCCCGCAAATTTCAGGATAAGTTGTTTGGTTTTTTGTTGTGTGTTTTTTTTTGGCGGGGGGGAAGGGGGGAGTAAAATATTAATATTCAAAGCTGTGTTGATTGGCTTTGCTGTGGTTGCTAAGCAGCATAGGCTTTTGTCTATAGCCTGAGCAGTGTACTGGAGAGGGCTGTGGAGGATACAATTCATTCAGCTTCTGTATATATATGAAAGAAATCCATGACTTCCGTCAACTAAACAGAAACCAAAATTCATCTCTTCGGCTTTGATTGTTTCTTTTTAAACATGATAAATTATTCATTGGAAAAGAAAACCTGTGAGGGTCAGGGGTTTATCTGCAGATACATATACATGTACATATACGTTAGGCCTGGGCGAATAGGGAAGTATTCAATTCGGATATGGATTCAGCCAGTTCGGAGGACAGTGATTTGATCTGGTGATTCGAATCACTATCCACATTCGATTTGGCCAAATTGGCTTCCAAAAATTCGGTGCTGATTCAGAGAGATTTGGTAATCCGGATCAGTCGGGGAGAGGCAGACACAGCCAGGCAGCTGCAGGTTCTCCTGCAGCTCCTCCAGCTATGCCTAACTGCCCCTGGGTGGGGAGAGCCACGGGAGAAGCCCCCATGGCTGCCCTGCCTGGCCCCAGCCTCCCAGCACTTAAAAAAAAAAAAGGCCCCTCACTCCCTTGCTGCAGCAGCGGTGATCAGGGTCTCTGGGCACTTATGGCAGAGCCCCACTATGCAGCATGGGGCAGTGGGAATTGCCCCTGCTGCCCACCTGGCACCCATGTGGCAGCTGCCCCATGGTGCAGGTGCAGTTTGGCTCAGCAGGGTGCTGCGTGATGTCTGGGAGCTGGGGCCGCTGGGGATGAGTGGTGCCGGACTCCGGATGACTGCTGCAGCTGGTGAGTGCGTAGCTTTTTTTTTTTTTTTTCAGTGCCAGGAGGCTGGGGCCAGGCAGAGCAGCCATGGAGGCTTTCCCCACAGCTCCCCCTGCCTGAGGAGAAACGGAACAACTGGAGGAGCTGTAGAAAAACCTGCAGCCGTCCAGCTGCCTGCAGCCTCTCCCCAGCCGATCCAAATCTCCGAACCTTTTCTGAATTGATTCAGAGCTTTTAATGGGTCTCCTGATTCGATTCGGATTCAGAGATTTGGCTCCTGAATCAGGCCAAATCTCCTCCAAATCAAATAGGCAGCTGAAGCTTCACATAGCCCTAACATATATCGACATCTACATATTAGGGAAGTTAAGTGCCTGGCAGAAGTCAGGGCAATTCACAAGCTCTCTAAATCCAGCATCAAGATTCACAGGCTGTATACCTAGATGGCATCAGGTCTTAATCTTGTCAATTCAGAAATATTAACAAATTTACTTTCAGTTGACTACCAGTGTAACTTCTTCGCCCGGCATATTTTGGCTTTTCCTGTTCACTGTAATGAACTCCAGAAATCACCGACAGCCTGGCACAGCAGCTAAGTACTTAAATAATGTATCACCATATACATATTGAAAGCAAAAGTATCTCTGATTATGAACATTGTATGTTTGGAGAAGTAACTATTATAGCAAAAATCAGTTCAATAAACCTTTGATATCAATATAGGCAGCAATCTGTTAGGGTCTAGAGCTCAGGATTCCATGGGGAAATAGCTTTTGAATCAAGAGACACAGAGAAAAATGCTATTTTATTAAATTTGTGAAAATGCATGTGTGCAGGGTTATCCAAAACAATAATTTATTTATAATAAAGAAATGAAAATACTTTTTATGTTTTGATATGCAAGGAAAAGTAAAGCCCTGCTGTTTATACTGGGGACTGGCAGGTGAAAGGTAGGAAACCCAATAAACTGCTGTTAATTTGTGCCTCTTTTCTTTGGCTTGAGCTAGTTTTAAAATATATGTGCGCACACTTTTTTAACTTTTACAGCTACATTATCAAAGAAAAATACACAACCCTTAAAGATCCCAGCTTCCCTTTTTGGCTGAGAGGCCATAGATTTAATTTTTGATTCACAAAGGAAACACCGTAGGGAAATGCTCTCCATGTGGGCTGGCTCAAGGAAATTTCCATAGAAAAAAAATTGCCATGGGAAAACTACCTTTTTTTTATTGTTGAAACTCCTTTAACACAGATCTCCTGAGGAACTGATAGACTAGAAAAGAAGAGAGAATTAGCCTTCTAACACACAGTCTCCGCAGACAATCCCACTGTTCCAGGCAGCCAACACAGGAGCCTGCCAAGCTCCTACTGGGAGCCAATTACAGATCCAAATTCCTTTACTTGCGTTCTAGGTTACCCGGGAGCACAGATATCGGCCCTGTCTTGCACAAGACACATGCTCAGGAACAGACTCAGAATTTTTACTCTGCAGGCTGCAGAGGGCT